GTGTATGTGTGTGTTTGTACACACGCACATACACACACACACACACACACACACACTATTAAAGTAGTCTAGGTTGTGTACAGTTTATATTATTATATCCTCAACACTCCTGTCCAATGGAAAAAGTGTGCATTTGGGGAATCTTTCTTACCAACATGTATATCCACTTTACCATGTAATATTAAGCTTAAGATTAATCAGCTTATTTAAAAAGCCAAGTGATCTAATATGTAAGCCACAGAACTCACAAACTGTGATGGGGTTCACACCTAGGTTAAATCACAAGACGTGTTGTAACCATCATTGCTCAGTAAAAAGCCTTTCCAGGTTATCTCCCTTATCATTTTATTCCTATTTTACCCAGGGGTGGGGATTCTACCGGTTCAACCTGGTTCTCACCGAACTGGTTGTTATGCTGGTAGGATCCCACCCTTGACTTTACCGTCTATAAAGTTGTAGCCAATCCAATCCAACAGCCTTTTCCCTTTTTTCTTCTTTAGTTTGAGTCATTACCCAGCCTTGAGCTCCTCTGATTTGGACTGCAGCTGAAGAGAACTGCACCAACTTCAACTTTTCCCCTGACAACTGGCAAATTCCTATCATTTTAAGAATTAGTTGCTTCTTTCCCACTTTATTCACATCAGAGTTTAATTTGAAAGGTTGATATTCCCTCTCCTTTGGACATTCCCTACCCTGACTTTATGCAGCTTAAAAATCTGACTTGACTTACACTCAGATTGCTCTTTAGGTCCTTCCTTATGATCTCTCATTGAATTGTCAGGACTATTCTGAGGAACAGTTCTCTTGAGTGCAGCCCAGACCAAAAGGAGCTGGAGGAGACTTTTCCAAACTCATCAAGAGGGCAGCAGAAGCCTCTAGAGGGCTGAGGAGGAGAAAACAACAAATTTTAGGATCACTCCTCATACTAATACGATAGAAAGATTAGAGATCCAACGCAAGCTCATGAGCAAAGTCACAAAACGGGGAGAAAATTATTTCCACATCTCCACATATCTCTAGTCCAACTGGCTACATGCCAATCTATAACAAATGGCAAATATCACAGAGCTCTTTCTCTTGATGTACTACTTTCTGCTATTACTGATGAAACATATTTAAATACATTTTATTTAATATTAGATAAATATTACTAAAATGTTGAATGTACACAGATATGGTAAAGGAAGTAAAGGAACAAAATCAGAGATATCTTAGCATTTTTGAACCACAATTAACTACTGCATTTTTTGCACTATAAGATGCTCCAGACCAGCGGTCGCCAACTGGTGGGCCGTGAGAAAATTTTGGTGGGCCACAGACAAAAGTCACCCCCAGAGCACCCCCGCAAAGCAATTCATCCACGCTGTGCAGAAACACAAGCCTGCACTGCCCACATGGCCCACGGAAACCCTTCCTGCCCATTCACTCTTTACCAGGCAAACTTGCCTACTAAGTTGCTATTTTTCCTTTTTCCAACCATCATCTGTTCTGCTGTGCTGGCAGATTTATATTAGCTAGGAAGCAGGGAATGGTTAGATTTCTTGCTTTCTAGCTAGTCTTTAGATCTTCAGGGCTCTGCTTTTAAACACAGCCGAACCTCCTTTAGGACTGAAGATTCTATTATTCAGTGCAAGCAAATTTTATGTGACAGACTGAGCTAGCTGATAGCAGATAGATAGATCACTGAATGATTCTGTGAGCAACTCAATCTGCCTGCCTGCTTTGCCTGATTTTGGGTAAAAGTTGCTCTTTGTTATAAAAAAAAATCAATATTTACATACATGGTATGTTTTGAGTTAATTTTGTAAGTTTGCTTGCTAGCAAATTTTATGTGACAGACTGAGCTAGCCGATGGCAGATAGATACACCTCTGAATGAATCTGATTCTGTGAGCAACACAATCTGCCTGCCTGCTTTGCCTGATTTTGGGTAAAAGTTGCTCTTTTTTTAAATAAAAAATTAAATATTTATATAAATATTTATAATATTTACCACACCCACAAATTACGTCATGCCCACAGAACCAGCAAGTAGTCCCTGGGATTTAAAATTATGAATTTGGTGGTCCCCGAAGTCCAAAAGGTTGGTGACTCCTGCTCCGGATTATAAAACACACCTTATAGTCCTTTTTGGGGAGGAAAACAAGAAAAAAAAATCTACCTCTCAGCAATTTGCCTCCTTGCAGCAGACAGCAAACAGCCTGGTCAGCTTCAGCACAGTCTGATTTACCACAAGCAGCTGATTGGCAATTGGAATACTGCCAACCAGCTGTTCCAGGCTGCAGGGACTGCTGCCGCCTATTGCTGCCTCTGTGCACTCCATTTTCAGCCTCCGCGTGCCCCATTTTTTGCCTCCGTGAGTCCTGCTTTTGGCCCATTCTAGGTGGTAGGATTTGCCGCCAATCAGCGGTGATAAGCAGAGATGATTGGTGGTTATCGGCAGAGATGGCAATCGCCACCATTTCAAATGGCCTGAAAACGGGACACACTAAGACTGAAAATGGGGCATGCGGAGGCTGAAAATGGGGTGCGTGGACCCAATATGTGGCAGCAGTGATGGCAATCCCGGCAGCCTGGAACAGCTGGTTGGCGGTATTCCAGGAGGCTGATCTACCTGCCAATCAGCTGCTCATGCTAAATCAGGCTGTTCTGAAGCTACAGGGAAGAATACAATGTCAGAGAATCTGGATAAAAAGAATGCTATTGTAAGCATTCATGTATTTCTTTGAATGCTATTCAAAGAAAAAAGGGAACCAGAACTTACTGTCATTATAAAACAAACGTACTAGAAAGGCATATATTAATAATTGAATTAATGATTAATAACACTTCAGATACCTCTTGCCTTTTTCTTTCTTCTTGGCTGATGGTCTGAGATAAGCCATTCCTCTTTACCTGAAATGAATGCTTAATTAATATATTTTTATAACTCATACTTTAAAAAAAAATAGAAACAGTACATTTGCTTACCCTAGTTCATAGTTTCTACAATGTAAAGCTACTTCAATATACAAACAACTGGCAATTTATGATTCCTAAATGATCTGACAATGTCTCAACCATAGGTAACTTACGTGTTGTCAGTTCCCTTAACAAATGTTACAGACTACTGAACCTCTGGACAACCAAAGGTGTTCTGGAAAGATTTCATTATGGGTCCCAGATGTAGAAAATTGCCCTGGGAAGGGTATTACTGCCAGAAGTATGTTCTTAATTCCCTGGTACACTAAGGTATCAATTTAATTCTACTACAGCAGTGATACCCCAGAAATGTCAAGGATGGACCAAGGATGTAAAATGTAAAGAATGGGGCAAAATCCAGGCATAAAAAAGGTATTTTTTATATTAAAATTCTAACAGCTTGGGATTGCAGAGGGAGGTATGTAGGCTGATGGATCAGTGTGTGAAGACTGGCAGATCGGTAGTGGGCATGTGATAGGAAAAAAGATAAAAACCTTGCAAATATTCAAGAATGTGTGGTAAGATTAGGGCAGGCTGTAAGAAGGAAGAACAGAAGACAAGCATATGTTATCTCGGTTACTTTATATAATTTTCATCAGATTTTTTGTTATATGAAAAATCATGTGTGCTTATTTTTAATCAAAAATTAAAACATGTATAGCATGTGTTTGCATTTTATTTAATTATGGTAGTTTTATTTATGTAATTGAATTGTTTGTAAGGACAGAGGTCAAATTCAAATAAAATGTAAGTGTAACTTACAGATGTGTATTATATATATGTCTCTATAGCTCTTTAAATAAAAGTTAAAAATAAACATTAAGAAAAAAATAGTTTCAAATCTCAAGGAAAGATGGAAGATATATATATAGAGAGATGATAGATAGATAGAGAACAATGGATCCAACCTGGCCAAATAATTTCAGAACAGTGATGGAAAGGCATTAAGAAATGGACAAATCTAAGTTTACTAACCCTTTGATTCATATACACTTAGGAGGTCTATTTTATTTACCATATTTTTTTGGACTATAAGATGCTTTGAAGTATAGCTTTTGGGGAGGAAAACAAGGGGGGAAAATCTGCCTCTGCCTCTCAACAATTTGCCTCCTTGCAGAAAACAGTAAACAGCCTGTTCAGCTTCAGCACAGACTGATTAGCACAAGCAGCTGATTGGCAGTTGGATCGGCCTCCTCACAATCAGCTGTTTCAGACTGCAGGGATCGCCATTGCCTATTGCCGCTTCCACGCACCCCATTTTCAGCCTCTGCATCCCATTTTCGGCCTGTCCCAGACTACAGAAATTGGAACGAGCTGAAAATGGGGTGTACAGAGGCTGAAAATGGGATGCAGAGGCCAAAATGGGGCGCATGGGGGCGGCAATAGGTGATGGTGATCCCTGCAGCCTGAAACAGCTGATCGCCGGGAGGCAAATCCAACCTCCAATCAGCTGCTTGTGCTAAATCAGGCTATGCTGAAGCTACCAGTTATTTGTTGTTTGCTACAAGGAGGTAAATTGCTGGGAGGCAGAGGCCAAGGGGTGGGGGCCAGCAGGTGGGTGGGGCTTCAGCAACATTCACTGTATAAGATGTACAGACATTCCCACCTACTTTTTTGCGGGGGGAGGGGTACATCTTATACACCGAAAAATATGGTCTATAGTCTAATGTTTAACATGGAAAGAGGCATTACTTTATTGTGAGGTTATAGAGATTAGCTAAAGCATACCTCTACTAATTTTAATACAAACAAAACTCTGAATTATTTCATTAAAAAATTAGAATTAAAATTAATCATTATTTTCCCTGTTAGACAGATTCAATCATTTTGTTCAAGCTCCTCACATTCCTATAGCCCAAGCATGTCAAAAAAGGCAATTCAGATTTCCATCCCCACAAATTTTGTTTTCTTTCCTAAGAGCAAAATTTGGAACTGATCCAATGAATTGGTCATTTATAGGTACTTAGGTAATGAGAAAGGCCATTCTTCTGATGATTTATGAGAAAAAAAGTTTAATTGTTCCCTATAACAGTTGTTTAGCCAAGATTCTCACTGTTCATGAAAGCCAAGAGAAAGGAATATCGGTATGGTTATCTCTAAACATTTGCTTGGTCTCTCTATGCTTCTATCATCAGCTAAGTCTCAATGAATCAAAATTACCTGAAAGACAAGAATTCACTAAATCTACCACACATCCCTGTGTAGCTTCACAGGGTATACTTGATATTCACTGTTAGTACTCTTTTTGTTTTTATGTAACCTGGCAAAAGATGCAGCTATTTTACGATAATTTGAGGTGCAAATAATTTGAAAAACTTTCTTATATAACTTGAGATATACTATTGCCAAATGCATTTTCACTTTACTTCCTGGTATGCTCACAATTCAAGCTACTTTCACATGCATATTATTGCCCTGTTGTTGCATATTTTGAATGAGACAGTGCAGCTTTTACTTCTTTAAACAATACAGCTTTTAAAAGAGCTGAATATATCTTATTTCTAATAACTTAGGAACTATTTTCAAAAGACTTTCTGTTCTATCCAGCTTCTTTTTCATGTAGTCAATTAAGAAGAGATAAGCAAGCTAAAAAAAGATCTTACATAAAACCAGAGCATTGTAAAGAACAAAAAAGATAATAACCCACACACATAGGACCAACATCGCCCATATATTTCCTATGTATATTATACACATATATGTAAGTGAGTGTGTAACATGCTTGCTTGCTTCTTAAATGAGAGACATTTCTTGCCCACAAGGGAGATTTTTTCAGCTGCAATTCTTGTTCAATACTTCAATCTGCTTTTCTCAATAGTTAATCAGATATTGTTTAACTCAGCTATAATGGATGGATTTATACATTACTTTAAATCATAAACCGTGAATTACAACCTCCAATGGCCATTAAACCAAAACCAAGCAAACTGCATTATGTTTTAGTTGTGATATGTGTACCAATGCTTATTGGTTATGAGTGGGGTAAAACCTGCATGAACTCCTTTACATTTACCAACACAATGTTTTCATGAGAATTGTAGCAAATTACAGTGGAAGATGATTAATTCTAAAGCTCCAGTGCAAGTAGAATCCCACTTCCGGTTCTTTGGTTCTAACTCATAAGGTCTATAAGGAACTCTGGTATCAAATGTTCATGATATAATAGAATTTTGTTGTGAACCAATGAGCAACAAAGTGATTTGATTTTGCTTATCATAAACCTATTTAAAACAAGAGCATAATGGGAACTATGCTAATTTTTGAACCATTCAATCCACACAGCTTGCATCTGATCCTTGTAGTAGCAAATACTACATCCTCTTGTGTTACAGAAAAAGGGGTATGTCCCAAGTTGTATACATAACTCTGTTCCACAAGGCACTAACTCATCCAACTAATTTTTGTCGAAATATAGAAGTCTTTTCCTAGTGCAGAAAACTGTGACTAAGTGATCAATATTTGTTCAATATGCTATTGTTCAAATATTACTATGTTCTTCCTTGTAATTTATGAAGTTTTATCATGATTTTTTTAAAAAAGGGCACTGTCAAAGAGAAAATAGTCCTTTATAGTTAAACATTTATCTTGTTTATATTAGCTGTTTATCAATATAACTGTTTAAAGATGCACCCACCTGACTACAGAAGGTGACTACTGCACAATTTGTAATCCATCACCTATTTACACATAGCAACTTTAAAACTATCTTTGAAAATCATTGCCCTTAGCTTGTAAAGAGATTAGATTCTGCTAACGTATAAATCTTGGCTTACAACCACCACATGGGTTCACAACTGCATTAAATCAGAGATGGTATTCAGAAGATTCTGACCCGTTCTGGAGAATCGTTAGCGGAAATTTTGAGTGGTTTGGAGAACTGGTAGCAGAAATTTTGAGTAGTTTGGAATACCACCTCTGACTGGCCCCACTCCCATCTATTCTCTGCTTCCTGAGTTCCAGCTGATCGGCTGGGTCTTCTTTTGTTGCCCTTCACAGGAGAACAGAGCTGGAAAGCGAGTTAGTGGTGTAGGAAGAGAATGGGGATTTTACAGTATCCTTCCCAGGAGTGGGGTGGGAATGGAGATTTTGCAGTATTCTTCCCCTGCCTCACCCACCAAGCCATGACCACAGAACCAGTAGTAAAAATTTTGAATCCCACCACTGCATTAAGTGATAATGCAACTTGTTTGGTTTGATCTTCTGAATAAATCTAGTCAACAATAAACCCAACCAAGCAATTACCCAATTTTGTTTCATATTTGTGAGATCAAGAAGAGGTCATAAAGTGTGATTACTGAACTATACTTGACGTGGTGAATTTTTATGTCTCATACCTGTGAATTAATCAAGTCATTCTTACATACAAGATTATGTTATAGCCAATGGAGACATTTTTAGAAAGGTATTACTGCATCAATAATAGGTTAATGATAGAGTTTACTATAGAGGATTGGAATGGTTCTTGAGTCATTAAAATGTTAAGTTATCTTCTATTCACTTTTGGGAACAACAGTAGTTTGCAAAGATACTGCCAAACATTAAAATGACATATAAGTAGCTAACAACATTACATCTTAAGCAATGAATCAAGCTGTACTAGTGAGTGCAGCTAACTCCAGAACTTTAAAAAATGTATATTTTTTGATGTCTTACAGATTTAAGATTTAAAATTATTTCCTTATCTGTGAAATTGTAGGAAGATATTACGGAACTGATTTTCATTATTCATTCATATTGCTCTGATAATGCTGAGGTTGCTGATTTCAAGTGAGCAAGGAACTAGTGGCAGGATTATTTTTTGCAATAGCTCTACATGACCCTTGTGGAATGGTTATGGGAAGCGACCACATGAAAGCAATAATCGGACTGCTAAGATAATGGCCAAATTTGGATGTTCACAATATAATTTAAGTTCCCTGCAATGAACTATTTCAGTTGATTCAGTCCATCTTCTCTTCTAATCCAGCAGAGACCACAGTGGGAAATTAAGAGCACAGCACGGTTGGTTGTTCTGACTGCAATAGGTCAGACTTTAAGTAGTTAATTAAAACAACCTTTTAGAGGAGTTGATAAAATAATAAGGGTTTTTTTTCTTTCTCTTAAACTATACTATTAAATTATGTTGCGTACCTGATTTAGCTGAAATCCAATCATACTATTTCAGAAAGATTTAAGAAATATTCATTCACAGTTAATCTTTTGACTAAGGTCATATTTGAACATTCTGAAAATTTTTAAGGTGTTAACTAAATGTATAGAAGACTGGACATATAGAAATACACAGAAAAATATGCCGCACTCTTGGCTTTTCCTGCTCTTCGTGCGGGTCTCCACATCTCTTAAACAAAATTGTTACTTTTATATATTTGAAACAAATATGTGTAGTTCTCATTCAACAATCACAATTGGGACCAGAATCAGTCACTAAGCAAAGATGTCACACGATCTCTTTGCTCAATGAGTGCAATCCTGACTCTGCTAGTTGTTGTTGCTAAGCAATTAAGTGGAAGGAGTGCCCAGTAAGAAGGCACAGTGGGAGGCACTGGAGGCTTGGCACAGGTTGTGTATGAGTTGGCAGGGTGCTGAAGTGCAACACAAGTCCAGGCCTGCTCCCACCACCACCACCACCACCATTCAAACAATCATGAGAACAGCGGCTGCTTTCACAGTGCTTTAGAACGACTACTTATGAGAAGGAGGCTTCTGAAATACTGCAAAAGTGGGCACCATTCTCACAATTATTCAGGAGGTTGGACGGCTTCTGAATGATCAGGAGACTGGAATCATTTGCAGTTGCAGAAAAAGTGAAGTAGGGTGCTTTGCATGCACTGGTGGGCCCTCTAACTGGCTAAGGCATCTTAGGCCTCATGGGGCAGGGAGTAGGGCTAGGTATCCCAGGCCTAGTGAGGAAGGGAGCAGGCCCGGTCTTCTCATCCAGGTGGGTGACTAAGATGAGGGGGATATTGGCAGGGGAAGAAGCTGCAGCACACCTCTGGTTGTAAGGGTAGACAGACTGCCAAGTATCCAAATTTTTATCATATGGCCACAGGGTCACTGCAGTAGCTGCACTTTCTGGTAACAGTTATTAAGTCCACATTCTAGATAGAGAGGACCACTGATTTGAAAGATGAATTAAAAAGTCCAACTATGTTAGAACTGAACAGCCATCCCTTAACAGAGGGGGAGGAAAACAAATCCTTCCATCCCTCCCCCCATCCCATCAGAACTTTTCTTAGATGAGAAGTGAGATGTCTCTTTCCTCAAAGAAAAAGCATAGTCCAGCTGTCTTTTGAAAAAAGCACCTCTGAGTTAGTCCATTCATTCAGCACCGTTAAAATTTCAAATAGTTGCTGAACAAATAGTCATTAAACAGTAACCACCTGTACACCTCTCCATAGAATTGAAGATCCCCAATAATGAAAGAATACTCAGAGAAAGCAATCACCAAACCTCTACCCAAAAAGTTAGAATTCTAGTTTTGGCCAGTATGAAAGAAGTCCCAATGGTTCCTTGATAATACAAAGGTGAAATGGAACTGAGGGGTCAGGAAAAGAGGATATGCGACAGTCTGCTGACAGTTTTAAAAGAGACCACTGTTTAAAGATATATTACAAGCAATGCTTTGCAGGGAGCCATTCCTTGCTTGCCCTAGCATTTAAAGTAAAAGAACATTGTTCAGTTTCTCTTTCTTCATGTTTTATATTTTCATTCTCTATGTATTGATGTATTGCTTATTCCATGAATTCTGTGGAGCTTGTAGACAAGACAAATAAAACCTATCCAATTAATTATTGGACAATTAAATAACTAATTTTATTAAATATTTTATTTAACATCTATTAAATATTAAATAGTTAATTGGACAATAGCCATATTTTCAGTCAACCACATGTGAAGATCTTCCAAAGGCTCTGTGGAAAGACCCAGATTTTACTGGTTTCCTAAGTGGTAAGAAGGAAGGAATCATCCTGACCCTGCTCCATATGGTTATTTTATTAAGAATGAATCAAAGGTTTTCTTTTCCATAAGATAGTTTGTTTCTAATTGTTTCCTGAAGTCTTCGCCCAGTTAGAGTTTGATTGCTTTAAAAACCATGAATCAAAGAGAGGAATGCAGATGTAGCAGCCACCTCCTTGCCAATTACAACTATTGAATAGTATCTGCATGTTCATAAACATTTTGCTTTGGGAGGTAATTGAGGGTATATAAGGCTGTAAAAATTCACATTGACCGATAAAAACCTTGCTTATAAACATCACTAATTTACAATTTGAACTTTGAAGCACTTACTAATATTATGACACTTACTACAGACAGTTGGCTCCATGTTGATCTTAGAGGTTTGTATTGAATAACTATTTTTTCATCTGACTTTTGTTCTTTTGATTCTACGTCTTCATCGGAATCTATATCCAAAGCTTTTTCTTTATAATTCTGATACAACACTGCATTTTCTGCAATAACAAAAAAGGAAAATGATTTGAGATGCTTCTAGACCATATAATTATAATAATTTTCTCTTAGACAGCTAGTCTTGTTCAGAACAGACACTGGGCAAGCATATTATAAATGACAGGAACATCAGGTCAGCCAAATTCAGGAAGGAAAAAGAAGAGAGAATCTATTTTATCCCTCTCGCCCCACCATCCTGTGGATGACTGAATACAAAGGGTTCTTATGAAAGTTGGCTGGTTTATCTTGTCAGCAAGGTGTGTACTGTAAGCCAGGTATAAAATCATTTGAAATTTTAAACAATCAATTAGCTTGCAATTGAAAATGCAGAGCTAAAGTGTATATAGCAAAATCTTAGAGTTTAGTACTAAATATTGGGGGGTGGGGGTTTCTCATGCCTATTAAAATGTCAACCAAATCACTCCATACTTTATCATGTTGCATAAATTATACCTGAACTGATGTTTAGATTTCTTTTACTTTTTAAATACCAAATGCATATTAAGTTAACAATTCAAGAAACTGGTAATATATGAGCAAAATATTGTAAAGCCACAGTAGAACCGGATATTGTTAGTATAAAAATAGACTTGATCTAAGTATCTGAAGTTTCGATCAAAAATCCCAGAGTCCTATTTCAGTTAAATGTAAGTTCTTTACATTCCAGATAAATGACAAATAATTAATGCAGTTCAAACATACACACATAATCATTTAAGAGAATTAAGAAGTCAACAATACGATTACTTTGTGAAAGTAGGCTGAACCATGTTTCAATTCTTCCTAGATGTGAATCTTATGATTGCTTACTGAAATCTATAAAAATTAGTTCTACCGTGTTTCTCCAACAATATGGCCTCCCCCTATAGGAAGTCCCAGCATGTTTTATAGGCATAAAATCAAATTAAGCCCCTCCCCCCGCACCTTGTTTTCCCGACTCTGATGCGGCCTAGCGGGATGAGCGGAGGGTCCGGCGGGGAGTCGCTCGCTGCCTTGGTGAGAGCTCCGCTGTCGGGTAGGAGAGCCCGCCTGTCAGCTGCACTGGGCGCCCCAGGCGAAGCTCTTCACGCTCTGCCCAGCGCCAGGCAGGGATGGCGGCTGGGCGCTTCTCCTGCGGTGGGCCGATCCTGCACTGTGGCCCCGGGAGATTTGCCTCCCTACGTGGGGTTGGGCTGCCCTCTCAGGCAGGGGAGGCTTTGTCGTACTGGTAGTAGGGCGTCGTTTTTAAAAGAATTGGCTATGCCTTCGAAGGCAAACGGAAGGCAGCAACAGGAGCGCCTGAAGCCAAGTGTCTCTGCCGGGCTCCGGTTGCAGGGAGGAGCCCTGGCTGGGCTATATCTACTCTATCTATCTATCTATCTATCTATCTATCTATCTATCTATCTATCTATCTATCTTAAAGTTGTAGCAACGTTTCGGCAGAATCTCATCTGCCATCATCAGGCTTCTGTATTGTGTTCGTCTGTGAGTCAGACTTTCACAGCCGTTTCTGTTTTAAGTTTGGTGCTAGCTTACTGCTGAGCCAGAATGGTTTTTTCTTCATCCTGATTGGTTGGGAGTCTTGGTCTGTGTTTATTGGTCTTGGAGTTTGCTGTGTTCTGCTTGATTGGTGTTTCTAATATCTTCTATCTGTTTTGTGGCTTTTTTGTGTCTTGATTGGCTGGCAACCTTGTGTTCCTGTATTGGACACTTTTAGTGCAGCTTGGCTCTGAGTAAACAGATGGCTATCATTTATTAGGAAGCTAGGTTTCCTTTGGGTGTCTGGTTGGGATGTGTTTGAGCTGGAGGTATCAGGGTGAGTCTGTTTGTGCCCAGGTGTTTGCCTGGCTTGTGGTGTGGAGATTTTTTTGTTTGAGAGTGCAGGCTTCTAGATAATTGACAGTCTGGTGGAGTTATCTCTTCTATTCATGCTTTCAGGTCTTTTTATCAATCTCTATGGCTTCTCTGATAATTCTGTAGCTGGGGTTTTCTATAGTGGCTAGGGCTTTGGTGCCATTGAAGTTGATGCTATGACCTGTGGCTTTCATGTGTTGGACTAGTGAGGAAGTGTGTTCCAGCTTTTTTACTGCATTTTTGTGTTCATCTATACAGAAGCCTGATGATGGCAGATGAGATTCTGCCAAAACATTGCGACAACTTTAAAAGCACAACTATAATGACGTTAGAAAATACCCAAACAAAGCTGAATACCATACATATAAATACCCGTGAAAACTTAAGAAAACATATATATGTAGGTATGTATGTATGATGTGTGTGTGTGTATACACACACACACATATATGTATGTATGTATATGTGTGTGTGTGTGTGTGTGTGTGTGTGTGTGTGTGTATGTGTATATATATATATATATATGCCAAAAATGAAGCACTCAAAAATTAAGAAATATAAGGCATTTAATGAACAAAGACAAGACTTCTTGAACAATATAAAAGAAAAAAATATGAATTAAAAAATTCACAGACATCTGAATTGCAAATGACCAACAAACAAATCAAAATGATGCCTACAAGTGATAAAAATATGTAAATTATAGCCAAGAAGTAACAATGATAACAAAGGTAATTCAGAATACCCATGCGGACAAATGGGAAGCATTGTAAATAAGACATAACCAATGCTATGACAGAATATGACAGAATTGTAACTATTCTATGCAATAGGAAGTTTTTTTCTCCTATTTTACTCTACTTGAATACATTATAAAGTTGGTCCAGCTATTCTCCTATCCATGATATCATTGGTAGAACCCTACTGGATATTGCAACAATAATGCTACTTTATATTTGTTGCAATGACTTTGGTTTTGTTTTGTCTCACCCTGTTAATACAAACAGAAGAATCTACACCTTTGACCCAAACTTTGCTTTGCAGAGTAAAACTTAACTTGGTTCTTGTATAAACTTCTTTATACAATATATCATTAAAAATAAGTACAGTATATCCAAGCAGTTCTTACCTTGTCCATCAAACGTCCCTTGTCCTTTTAGCATTTTCTTCTATAATATTTCAAAAAGAAAATAGAGAAGAGGAAGGGGAAACTGGTGAAAATAGGAATAAGAATACATGAATTTCAAATGTTTTCCGTAACATATTTAATCATTAGTAAGTTAGGATAGTAACCATCTTGCAAGAGATCTACAACTTTGGTACAGTTCTGATTCTGAACCAGAACTTTCCAAACCCATTCACAAAATAAAACCATTCTTAGAATCACTGTCTCTGCTGAAATTAGAGGAATGATTAAAAATAACAGATTTTTAACATGCATCTCAGTAATGTTTTGGCTGAAGAAAAATTTTAAATTCTTTGTTAAAGTATGAAATGATTCACTGTGGTTAAGCATAATAAAACGCATACAGTAAATGATTTTATTAAATCCCTAAAGTCAATAGCATTTGTTTAAAAAAGGAAAGCCAGACTTTTTTTCCCTAATTATCCCAAAAAATACTCTCTAGTCTATAGAAAATTACTATTCTACACCAGATTTTATCCAAATTTCTATTTTTCAAGATTTTTAAAGCATTTTTAGACTTTGTATATATTCCATCACAGATAATATCTTCACAGTTCAAATATTGTATTATTTGATAAGTCTAGGGCAGGGCTGTCAAACTCATGGCCTGTGGGCCAGATGCGTCACGTGCTGGCCATGCCCACTCCTGTTTTACTGAAGAGGGGAAAAGTCGCCATACATCACGTGATGCTGCAAGTTTGATACCCCTGGTCTAGGGAGTTGGATTGAAATTTGGATACATGTAATAGGACAGACATATTCCACCTCCACCTAGCAGATTCTTCATGGTCCCAGAGTTACATAAAAGATCAAAACCAACAGGTCAGAGGTCAGATGAAGGCTGGAACGATAGATACACCTCTTGCATCACAATTTACCTCATTCAGCTTCAACATGATAGAAGAATTGAAATGAAAAGAACAGGATAGTCATGATCTGTTAGTTAAATCACAAGTAACTAGGTAACTTACAAAAACACAATGCCTGGGCTCATAACACATTAAGCTAAAACTAAACAAACGACACAGAGGCTCAGTGATACTAAAAAAAAAAAAAATCCTTAACATTCCTCAGACGATATCTACATTCCAAAATGGAATTTTAAAAAAGAAATGTTTTTTTAATAGTTTAATGCATACATTCCTGGATAAAATCTCTTGAAGTCTCGAGCAGGGGTTAGATTATGACCTTTAAAAAAATATCAGCTGGACAGCTATACCTTGGTGTCTAACAAAGACTGGACTGTAAATTAAAAAAAAATCATGTTGCTTTTAGTAAAGACAAGATTAGCAAAATTATATACAAAAATTCTAGTAAAATCTAGTAAGAAAACCTGTGCCAAATAGCAATAGCACTTAGACTTATATACCGTTTCACAGTGCTTTACAGACCTCTCTAAGAGGTTTACAGAGTCAACATATTGGGTCTGGGTCCTCATTTTACCAACTTCGGAAGGATGGAAGGCTGAGTCAACCTTATACATTGTATATGTGTTGAACTCTGTAATTGAGTTATACAAATATTGCCTTTGAGCAAATTATTTGACTTTTAAATTCTGGGAAATTTAACTTTTCTTTATGCAAAAGGTTCTACATGAAGAGATAGCAACTCTGTCAGTTTCTTTTGACCAATACAAATTAATGATGCCAGAAAAATTGATTTGAGGATATATCTATCCCCTTAATACAATTATCTGGAAAAAAACCCAACTCCAAATAATGCATCCAAATACACACACTGAAATCTATATGGAACATGTAAGCTGCACAAAAAGTTTATGAAGAATGAATTCATTAGCTTGCATCTTTGCATCCTGGCAGTTTGCCAGTTCCATGATTATCCTATATAAAATTAATAGAATCTCTATAAAGTGGATTAATCTTGAAGTATAACTGAAGCACATTGTTGCGTAAGCAATATTTCCATCAAAGTTATGGAGATATTTACAACCAGGAAATAATTAGCATCATAAATATAATAGATAAAAACGTATAATCCCAAGTCTTCCATCGGGGCATATTGACCTAATATGGAACAATCATGTTTACCACATCAACGTCATAAACTTAAGTATGTGAACAGAAATTTATCAAAAGTAATCTCACTCTCATACATATAAACATTTTAGGTTGCCAGTCTGGAGAAAGATCAAGCAAATCAATGCATGAACCTACTTTTTTCTGAGATAAAAGTGAGGCTTGCCTCTGATTCTAACAAGAGTTACAGTACCTAAAGGGGCAAAGTTACTGCTCTCAACAGTTTGTTTCTGCACTGAACAATACTTCACACTAACCAAGTTCTGAACACAAAGAAGAAAATTGAATTTGTATCCAGAGCTTGTGCTACAGTTGAGAAACATCTCAGACACAAGACCTCACCCAATATGAATGTCATAGGGATAAATTTTTGGATAGCTACTAAAAGTACTTGATGAAATAAAGAACTCACTGTGATGTTCCAGCACTGCAGTTTCAATTAATTTCCCACTTAAGAGTAAATAAAGAATGATCACAGATAATGAAAAGTGGGTGATGAATTGTAAAAAGACTTAAAATACATACATTTTAAGAAAAATAACTATTAACTATTAAATTTCCCCCCCTAAATGGATAAGATTACATATAATAGCAAGGGTCTATTTAGGAAGATTTTGCAGATTCATTTGGTGGTGGAGCTATTATCACACTCATTTACGATGAATATTTCCTTTCTCATCCTTAAACCTGTAAGATTTCTCCCATTTTTCCCTATTAATTTAGGGTTAAAATACTATCCTGATCTTGCAGCATAAAAACTAAAACAGCAAATGTTCAAAAAAAGCCCATCTGTACTACCAATGACTGTGAACTCTTAATAATTTCACTTATTTACTTACCTTTATTCTTCCTAAACTAGAGAATTTCTCTTTATCTTCTATGACTGCCTTCAGCACTGGCTGAGACAGTTTGCTTTTCATTTTAATATTGGCAATACCATCAAAGTCAATACCACTCACAACAGCTCGTCGGTATGAAGTAGACCTCAAGCTACGCTTTAGCATCCCTGGGCTTTCCACATCCCCTTCTGCTTCATCATCTTCACTGGCTACTAAAGGTGCGTCAAGAGTCTCCACCATGCTGCGTACCTTAAGTACCCTGCTGTTTGGCTCTGAATTCTGACCATTAGCTTTGCCAATTATTCTTGTTTCAGAAGCTAAGCTCTTGGGGATGATCTGCTGTTTCCCCACTTTTAATGCAGCAAGACTATTTGTGCTCAGAGTCACAGATGACCTATCTGATTGGTCATTCTGATTTGATGGCATTCTTTGCAGAGGCAAATGCAGAATGTCTGAGGGAGCATGCAGGCGAACAGGTTCATTTTCAAGGTTTTTAGGAAGTTGGCTGGATTGTAATGCTAAGGCAATGGTTGTGTTATTATTTGGCGAATGTACAACTTCAGGTGGCAACACTCCAAGGCTTGATGTGAAAACAATATGTTCCTTCTCAGGACTAAGTGATGCTTGATTAGAAGCCTTCCTTGTGTAAGTTGATTTACTGCTTGCTGAATCTATACAACCAGTAGATGAAAAGTTTATAGAATTATTTGAAACCATTTTCAAGATTTGTGGGGACTGATCAGAAAGTGTTGAAGATAAGATTCTATGTTCTGGAAACTGAACCTTTCCATTTGGTACACTTTTACAGGTCAAAAGCAAGGGACCTCTTTGAATAGAGCTGCTGTCCGGAGAAGGAATTGTTTCATCACGCTGCATTAAAGGGAATGTATCTTTATCTTCCACAGGAAAATCTGTGAAGAGGACCCCAGTGGAACTTTGATAGGACTGTGGTCTAGGTTTGTTCTTTGTATGCAAATGCCCACGATGCACTGATCTTCTCTTCCACAATGGTGTAATGTTGTTATTGGAAAAGTCTATTTCATTTTGTTCATCCATAACCCAGAACTGAGGTCAATTCATCATCAACACAGAAATGCAGTATGTCCTATTGCACAACAAAAAAGGAAACACAAAAACTTAAATCATTCAGTAGCTACAATCTAACAAATCACCCTTGATGGGGAGAAGGTAGAGGAGAAAGTGTCCATCGTTTCAGTTTTACTTTAATTAAAAAAAAGAACTATCTTTTCTAAAGTATGTCTAGTACCGTTGGAAGAGGATTTGAGGAGTAGCAGCTTGAAGCTGGCATAGCTGGTGGATACCATTCAAATGTTTCTCACAAATATAGAGGAGGAATGGATTAAGTTCTAGATCCTTCTTTTAAACAGTAATTGCCCAGACCCCATTGATGGATAATTATGATATATTGATATTTTTAATTCAAATCAAAATATCAAACTTGTTTGTGTTTTCCATCTTCCCACAGATCCCCATCATTGTGGTTAAAGAATAAAGGAGAAAAATTGTGTTCCATAAAATGAAATAAAAAAAATGCTTGATGAACACTCTAAGATTTTAGTCCTATAGCTGGTGGGTACACTACTAATAGTGGATCTATGCAAGCAGAGTTTAACATTTAAATAAATAAATAGTCTCAAATGTATTCTTAAGAGTTATTCCCAGCATGATAACATGAAAAGGGTGACTGACTATATTTGTGCCAGAAAAAAAATTAAAAACTTTTAATTGAAGTTTTTTCCGAGACATTTAAAGTAGGCAGTTTCTTATTCTACATGCAGTTAAACAGTGAGGCTGTTTTTTTTTTTTAATAAAGGTCTACTTAATTACAGCACAAGAATACTAGCCAAGAATAATTTAACATAAGCCACTGCGATTCCAGAAGGCAAAGCAAAGGAAAAGTAATCATTTGTATTGGATCAGTTTCTGTTGATCTACAAGTCACATTCTGCTCTCCAGCAGACAGGCAAATTAAGAACTCTTTATATTTCCTATCACAAATTCTGTAGAAAAATATTTTTTAAAGTTTCATAGTAGGTTTCATAATTATGCAGTCTGGAGTAATTTTTTTTTCATAAAATCTAATCTCATTCAATAGCACCACCAATCCATATTTCAGAAACAATTATGCAAATATTTCAGGGTTATTAAGAAAATAGGTAGTTTGTACAAAGCCTAATAGTGCCTCCCAGAACAGGTGGAGATACCTTAAAATATACCCCAAAATGTCCACAAGGAATCCTAAGGAAGAAGCTACTGTATGACAAACCTGTTCCCAAACTGTTTCAACAAAGAATAATGGCATTACATGCTGCAGAGCAGCACAAATTTCACCTCCTTTCACAGAAAACAAATCCTTCATAAATTCACATTGAAGAAAGCATCAATGAACTCCAGGGTATTCATTTTTGAGCTAACATGTACAAGATTGCAGTTCAGCAGCAAAGTTTATTAAATTGTGGCTCCTGCCAGGAGAACCCCAATCTGTACAAAGTCTAGGAATGTTTTACAAACTTGTATATTTATTACACAACATTAGTTTTTAAAAGCAAAAGATAGCAGCAGCTAAGATTTTGCTTTTAGACATTTGTTCCAAAATACTTAAAATGGGGGTTTAGAACTATGTTTTGCTCCAACAACTCCATGCTCAAGGATGCCTGTTTACCCAATTGCTTAGCCTGAGGCTGAGAAAGGCCAGGCCTGTTTTGAGGATTACAACATTACACAGTTAGTATTAAGAAGGACAACAAACAAGAATTCCAGCAACTCCATTAATCCAACTGTAGGCCATAATACAGTTGCAATAGTTCTGAATCAGCACTCTTTGATAATGTTTGGCTGAGTTTATGACACATAATGAAGCACAAGAGGAGGAGGGGAGAAGCCTTCTGTGCGCAATCCCTCGAAGTGAACAGTATCTGAAACGAAGGATTATTATGATTTCCTCCTTTTGTCCTTCCAGGAGGCATAATCCTTCTGAAGCCTTTAAATTAAGCAGACTGCACCTTTAAGAAGAAAATTCTGAACTCGCACTCCTAGCAGAAGCACTAGAGTAATTCCTATATTGTGCATTCCTCTGTAACTGCTCGCATACCAGCTCACTGTTCCCGTTAGCAGTCTTAAGAGCACTGACGTGATTCCCTACAGTAAGTCTTCTAGAGGATTGTAAGACCCCACCCTCAATCAACATGCTCAGAGATGGAAGAAGCACCGTGTTTACAATCACCAATTCAGCCCCCCCCCCCTTGAAGATCCCTTTAACTGCAGAGGCTGCTAGGGAAACTTTCTGCGGGAAAGGGGGGGGGGGTTCCTGCCAGTTTGTCTCCCAACTAGGGAAGTCCAAGCGTCTTTCCCGCCAAAATATCAACATACAGAAGCCCCCCTCCCCTTCTCGGGTCAAGTCTAACCTTTCCCCTATGAAACACACCCAACTCACCTCATCGGAACCGCACCAAAGTAAAGGCGGCGGCAAAGGACTGGCAAAGTTTCCGAGCTTCGGCGCAGCCAAACACTTCCCACCGGTTGCTCCCGCGCGCTCCAGGCGCTCGCTCCAAACTCGACCTGCTCCTTGCCCTCCTGTCCCGTCCCCGCACCGTGCTCGGCCTTCCTCGGAGCCCCGCCCTCGCCAAGGCAAACCCCACCTTCTCAACTCGACAGTAGGGCGTAATGAAAGGCTATCCCCGCTGCTACTGCCGCCGCCTCGCGGGCACTCGGGCGGCTTAGAATCGCGAATCCCCCCCCCCCCCCCCCGGCTTCCCCCCCCGTCCCCAAAGAACCTGGTCTATTTTGCATGCAAAGACACGACCCTCCCGTCTAGGGCGCGTGAAATGGTCCCATCAATCAGGCAGCGTTTGGGAATCAGACACCCCGGTCCTAACAGGCTGAAGAGGATGGTTTCCAAAAGGGGCGGAGGAGGAAATAAGGGAGCGGGGGAGTCTTTTGAGCTATTTCAGTGTGTGGGACGAACAGAAGTGCAAAGACCGCAATAGACAAAATATATGACATATTATCAGACCAAAAGATGTGAGCACCCTGCAGGATCCACAAGAAGGGATCACCTGGATGAGGCGTAAAACCAAATCACGTGGTTGGGATTGTCATATAATTAAATACTGCTTGCCACCAGGAGCGTATTTTGAGGGGGAGAAGCAATGTTGAACTTTGCTTTCTCCTTCATCAACTTACTGATAATTCTAATAAACATGAAGACTCGCCCGTTATCCTGGTTAATGCACAAATTAAACAGGTTTGGTTTTTTTAAAGAATAATCTGTTAAACTGGCCATAGTTTGGGCAACCAGGTCTAAGTGGCGGATATCCAGATGGCAAAAAGTAAGGAAAACTGATGTCATTTTTGCTGTTATCTGGTTGAAGTTTGGATGTTTGCCACGTGGATATGTTAGTTTATTGTTAGTAATTAGTAAAATGACCATACCAATTAAATTGAGTAAAACCATATGAATATTGTAGCCCTACCATAGTGGACTGGTTCATATAATGCTAAAATGTAATAAGCTTTCACAGTGTTAAATAAACCATAATTATGTCATAGGTTTTTAATTATGCTCTGCTGACAAATTAAAGGTATTGGAACCTAAATGGAGGCCTTGGCTGTTACAGCTCATTAAGGACTGGAGCTACACTACCTCACTCAAACATGGGGCTGTGTTCTGTAGCCTTGTTATTGCTCAGTAAAGTATATCGAGCATGCATAAATTTTATGCATCTACCTACATTTTCCAGTCTGATCTAAAGTACTAAACTGGCTCCCCACATATAATGGGCCTATTCAAAATGAGATTCAACAATTTCAGAGTTTCAAGTACTAAAACAGTAAAGAGTTGCGGTGGCACAGTGGTTAGAGTGGAGTACTGCAGGATACTTCTCTTGACTGCTAATTGACTGCAATTTGGAAGATTGAATCTCACCAGGCTCAAGGTTGACTTAGCCTTCCATTCTTCTGAGGTCGGTAAAATGAGGAGCCAGGTTGTTGGGAGAAATATGCTGACTCAGTAAACTCTTAGAGCACTGTGAAGCAGTATATAAGTCTAAATGCTATTGCTCTTGTTAAAGAAAAAAAAAAACGGCTAGGAGCTGAGAAATGTGAGATTCTTCCTGCATTGCCATTATTGGACCATGCTTTCAGTGGACAAATAGGAAAGAAGAAAAGTACTTTGTCAAGTAAAAGAAACCTCTGTGTTACAAAGGGCCCGCATACTTGTTGTGCTGTTAGTAAAATAATTGTCCATTATTACTCTAACCTTTCTACCCTTGTGCTATGTTCCAATATTTAACCTTAATTCTTATGGAAGAGTTATGAACCTAGAGGATTGAAAAGGAAAGTGTCCATACAATTCATTGCAGAATTGCCATTATCACACCCCCACCTTTTTTTAAATTAAAAATGTCTGGTATAATGAAGTACAATGAGTCTTTCCTGTTCTTTTGTATCCCCAGCTGCAATGATTTTTCTGGTCTGTTATCCTTTCGTCATTATTACCTTCTACTATCATCTCACAGCATTCCAAATGAAGTTTATGATGACATCAAGAGAAGGGTCATGATTTTGGATTGTAAATAAGCAGAAATAATGTTGGCTATCTTTGAAAATTACTAAGCACCAAAACCTGCAACTTCAGAGAAGTCGCAACATTTTGAAGGCTTTGGTACATACTGTAATTTTAAGGATCAGAAGAAAAACATTTAAAGTAGTAAACTATTTGTATATCATGCAAATTTGCCAAGAGGTTTTTAGATAGCTTCAAGAATTTCAAAGGCTCCTGAATGCATTCATTAGAATTCCTGTATACCAGTCCCTTTCAAACTTGGCAACTTTAAAATATGTAGATTTGCCAACTTCTTTTTCAGAGAAGCCACCTCTATTTGTATGCCAAGCAAGCTAGAAATCAAATAAATGAGGTTTTCTTTATTATTGCAATTCCATAATAAAAAAATCACAATTTTCAGAGTTGATGAAGATTACAACTACTGTGTGGTTTGATTTGACAGATTTTTCTCTTATGTGTCTGCTGACAATTTTGTATGCTTATATCAAACTTCTGATAGGATTAGGATCAAGCCAGAAGATCACTCTATTTTAAAACCATGAGTATAAAATATAAATATATATATATGTATACTATTTTTCCTTAGCAAAACTGGAACAGTATGGATAAGAAAAACACTTTTCAGACCAATTTCTTGAGTTAATGTAGGTACGGTAAAGTAATACGTTCTGATACAACCAACAGCAGCAACCAATACATTAGCTGCACAGATGTGCAAAAATCTCTCCCAGCTACTAGAGGAAGCATTTAGAATGACATGAAGCTTCTAGTTGAGAATCACATTTTCTCTTTTTTAATGCAAAATGCTTCCCTCACCCAAGGAGAACTAAAGTGACTTCTTACTATTGCCTAGATAATATATTACCAGAACATGTATGAGCTTTAACACACAGCACTGTGTTTGTGTGTGTATTATACATATATTATATATATTATGGATCTTTGGTTGTTCGGGTTTTCTCCCGTGTAAGATTCAAAGTATCTAGGCAATGTTTCGATGAAGTCTCATTCATCATCATCAGGCCTCTGTCTTCGGCTCTTGCTTTTCAGAGTGATGTGAGATTGCAGCTGTTTTTTTTTTTTTTCTTTCCAACTGCCAGTGGGGGTGGGACTTGATTGGGTGGGGGCTTGGCTGTGTTCTGATTGGGTGGGGGTGTCTTCTCATTGGTGGGGGGCCTGGCTGTGTTTTGATTGGTTGGGGGGTTGGCCGTGTTCTGATTGGCTGGATTTCCTGCTGCCCGGCTTCGAGTTCGAGGTCGCGCTGCATCTCCATAGTGGGTGTCGGCCTGTTTCATGTATGGCTCGGAGGGGTTTGAAGTGGGCAGTGATGAGGTTGCAGTGTAGCTTCTGGTCCATGGTCGTGTCTCATCTTCTGAGTGGGTGTGAGTCTGTTTTCTATATGGGAGTGTGGTGGTGGCATCTTGTGTGGTTCTGATGGGTGTGGGTCTGGTGTCATTCTTCATGTTAGGTACTCGTCTGTTCATGAGGGCGGGTTTCCAAATGGCTGGGAGGCGGGAGGTGTCATCTCGTTTGTTCATGCTTTGTGGGCGTTTTTCTATTTCTATGGCTTCTCTGATTATTCTGCTGTTGAAGTGTTCGGTTTTGGTAATAGTTCTGGTATTTTTAAAGTCAATTTTATGTCCTGTGGCTTTGAGGTGTTGGACCAGGGAAGAGGTCGTTTCTTCTTTTTTGATTGAGTTCTTATGTTCTTCAATGCGTGCACTTATTCTTCTGTTAGTCTGTCCAATGTATGCGGCAGGGCAGGCAGTGCAGGGGATTTCGTATACTCCTTGGTTTTCTAATTCGACTTTGTCTTTGGGGTTTCTTAGGATGGTGGATATTTTTCTGTTTGTGCAGAATGCTGTTTTAATGTTGTGTTTTTGGAGGATCTTGCTGATTCTGTCTGTAGTGCCTTTTATATATGGGAGGAGGGCTTTGCCGTTTTCTTGTTCTCTGTCTTGGATTTTGGTTGGGGTTTCTTTTTGGATTAGGTGGGTAATCTTGTGTCTTTGGAATCCATTGGCTGTAAGTACGTTGGTGAGAGTGTGTAGTTCGGTTTTTTGGTGTTGTTCATCGACTAAGCATTTTGTTCTGGAGATGAGTGTTTTGGCTACGGAATTGATCTGTGCTGGGTGGTGGTGTGAGAGTGCATGTAGATAGCGGTTTGTATGTGTTTTCTTCTGGTAGATGGTGTGTCCTAGGGAGCTATTGGATCTTTTGTATACCAAGACATCTAGGAAGGGAAGTTGATTGTTGGCTTCTGTTTCCATGGTGAATTGTATTTTGGGGTGTAGGCTGTTGAGGTGTGTGAGGAAGTTGTTCAGTTTTTCTTTCCCATGTGGCCAGATTATGAAGGTGTCATCTACGTATCTGAGCCAGAGTTTGGGTTTGTGGTCGTATTTTTCTAGAGCTTGTGTTTCAAAGTGTTTCATGTAGAGGTTTGCGATGACAGGTGAGAGGGGTGATCCCATGGGTGCTCCTTCTATTTGTTTGTATTTTTGTCCATTGTAGGTGAAGTATGTATTGGATAGGCAGTGGTTGGTCAGATCTAGGATGTGCTTGGGGGGGGTTGTATTTGTTTTGGATGGCTGTCAAGGCTTCTTTTATTGGTACTTGGGTGAAGAGGGATATGACATCGAAGCTTACTAGTAGGTCGCTGGGTATAAGTTTTGTTTCTTTATGATCTCGATGAACTGGAATGAGTTTCTTACATGTGAGTTGATGGATTCTGCATAGGGTTGTAGTTGTTTGGCGAATGATGCCACCACCATACTCCCATATAGAAAACAGACTCACACCCACTCAGAAGATGAGACACGACCATGGACCAGAAGCTACACTGCAACCTCATCACTGCCCACTTCAAACCCCTCCGAGCCATACATGAAGCAGGCTGACACCCACTATGGAGATGCAGCGCGACCTCGAACTCGAAGCCGGGCAGCAGGAAATCCAGCCAATCAGAACACGGCCAACCCCCCAACCAATCAAAACACAGCCAGGCCCCCCACCAATGAGAAGACACCCCCACCCAATCAGAACACAGCCAAGCTCCCACCCAATCAAGTCCCACCCC